TTGTTGTTGTTGTTGGGGGGGGGGTAAAACAACATGACTTGGCTCCTGTTTTTGTCTCTACCTAATGTACACGTTGGCGGGGCTGCAGTTTTTGTTTGTACCTTGTCCTTGTTGTTGTTGTTGTTGTTGTTGTTGTTGTTGTTGTGGCGGTGGTTGTGTTTGTAGCCGCCACGGATCACAGAAAGCAGTGCGTGCACACTCTAGAGGCCCGTAAGAGGCTCCCTTCGCAAAGCGTAAGAGTTGTCCGATGCCTCGGCTGGGTCCAATTCCCGGGCTCCCGGACCTATGACACATCTGATTCGGGTGGGATTTTCACTCTTCCCCGGGGTGAAAGGAGCAGCGCCACGTCTGGGCCTAGTACTGCGAAATTAGCGGATGGCGAGACCGCTACAGCACCAGAATCCATTTCAGAGCATGAAAAAGGGAAAGCTTTTCGTAATACTTGCAATCGGGTCTTCCGCACGCAGGCCAGCCATATCCTGTCCAGTTCCGGACACAGTCCGGACTTCTCCATTTGTTCTGACTTCGTCTGTGGGCGGGATGTCCACATTTCCGGCCAGACCATTCGGTAGCCGCGAAGTAGTTCGCGCTTGGGCGCTCGTAACCTGCTGGACTGCAGGGTCTGGCAGTTCCATCTGGGGCCCAGGCATCTCAAGAAACCATCATACCACAGGGCCATGGAATATTGGCGCTCTTTTACACAACGGACAAACGAATGCTTTGTGAAAAGTCTTCAGAGCACGAAAAGCCTACTACAGTGTCTGGTCTCATTGTTGTACACGGGGGTTGCCACTGAAAGCGCGTGCTTGTTTGGGACTTCTAGCTGCTCCAAGGATCTTTCGTAGCCACCCTTAAGCAGAGCGAGCGGACCACACATCATCACTGCAATCACTTCTGTGACAGCTGACCCTCAAGAGAAGCGGCATTTGATCAGGTTTAGGATCTTGGGTTTGGTGTTAGAGTTGACTCTTTCAGAGTTGACTCTTTCAGAGTTCCTCACGCAGATTCGACAAGGAATCTATAAGGGCTTCCGAAGGGTTCCCCATCCAAACACGGCGCGTAGTGACGGACAGAACACCTCGGAAGTGGTTGTCGCCAGTCTGATCTTGGCTGGGGATTTCAACTCATCGCAAGCCCAGCCCAGGCCATGCGCCACACCGAAATTCGCTTCAACGAAGACAGCTGAACCAATCTTCTGCATAGACTGCGGCATACTGCGGCTGGTGGCATTGAACACGTGGCAGTGCGTCCCCAGTTACGCGTGTGTGCAAGGTGACGCACGTAGACAGATAGGCCTCATCTGGGTCTGAGAACCGTGCGCCGGCTCACTGGCAAAACGAGCGGGCCTCATCCGAAATTTCCTGCTAGGAAGAAGGAAGTGGGCCGCATCCCGATACAGGCCTTAGTTCACATTATGCGACATTGGATGCTTCCTCGTCTGCGACAACAGCCTGTGACACATTCGCATGCGGGGATGTAGGCTCCTGGCCGCGAATGACTTTTGAGGACGTGCCAGGTCAGGGCACAAGGGGATTCCACCTGCTTCGTGGGTCCTTTGTGGCGGCCAATGATTTGTCTTTGTCGCCTTCTTTCTTTCCTCATCCGCTTTGGACACTCCCTTCCGCAGTGGTGCAGTACTTGTAGTGCTTTGGGAGTAGTGTCATGAGTGTCAGAGTGAGGCAGGCTGGTGTGACCAGTCGCGTGTTGGGCACCTGTGGATGTCGGTGTGGCCGACACAGGTGTGGCCCATAGGCTACTCCCAATGCATATCCCGGGGGTGTCTCGGGTTGTACAACACCGTGATCGCAGCCGTTCGAGTTGATGGAAAAATGGAGCGTCGACGATTGCTGAGTTTATATCGGGTGCCTCGGTGCCCGTTTCACCAGCTCTGACACCGGTATAACATGGTGTTGTAGCAGTCAGACGTCCCGCTATGAGCAGAGCGCGCTCACTCAGCGTCCAGTGAAAAAAATGTTGTTGTTGTTGTTGTTGTTGTTGTTGGTGGTGGTTGTGTTTCTTTGCTGCTTCTGCTACTGCGATGTGAGGCGGCGCTGCATCGACCGATGCGCCTACTGGTTGCATCGATGAATGCAGGCATCTGCTAGAGCACACGATCCGATACAAATGTGCACCTTGCCATTTCTGGACCTTTGACACGTGTGGGCCAGGCAACGAGGTAATTGCTCTCGCAGGTGATGGGTGGTTACTTGGACGGCATTGGCATTTGTGCAGAAGTATGGGTTCCGAGCACTGGTGCTCATCATTGCCGGCCGGCAGGATTCCACGAGGAGGTCTGTTGCAAGAAAGCCAAGCCCTCAGCTGTGAGCCGTTGCTTGCTGTGAAGAATGAGTTTTTGTGATATGTGATATGTGTCAGAATGTCCAAGTGCTGCTACGACACATGAGATCCCCAGGTCCGCCATCGCTATCCCAGCAGGATCTCGGCAATAGCCCAGGGATCTACGACATCATTGTTGTTGGCATCCAGGATCCCACATGAGTCTCAGACGGTCTGTGTGGGATCGTCGACACCTGCCTGAAAATCCAGAGGAGGCTGTTCTTGGAGCCAAGGACGCTGTTAAGCAGGCAGGGTGCAATCACTGGATTCGTGCCGAGACGCATACGAAACTCAAGTCCATTACCCCTGCCTGTGCCATGCAGGGGGGTTCGATTCGGCACCATCACGAGCAACTCGTCATTAAGTTGCCCAGGCTGTTAAGGCTTTGGCTTATGGCATATCACCGTTGAGGATCGCGGCAGAGAGAGAGATATGGCATGTGGTGCGCTGTAAAGTAAAGCGATATGAGCTGCTTCTAGAGCTGGCATGAGCAAAGTTTGCGGTTCGAACGCGGGAGGCAAATCTTTCAGCTGTGCTGTTGCAGCCCGTCACGCGAAGCACAAGCTGGAGTAGTAATCGAATCTTCCATGTATGCATGTGTGGAGACTTTCCTGGGCAATGGGGCCTGCCTCGCTCCAAGAGCAAACAGCATACCACATTCAAGAAATGGATGTGCGGAAGCAGCAGGTACTCGTATGATGGCACAGTCAATGTAGCGAGTGCAGGCTCTTCTGTAGCGATCTGTGAGGTGCGTATGTGGTTTCCTTTGGTCACTTTTGCTTTTTTGCTTTGTCGCCGCGGCACCGCTGCACCATGTTCAAAGCCAAAGACACTTGCTGTCATGCGTTTCAGTCGGCAGTCCATAGGCTCCAAGGGACAGGGCTTTTCCCCAAGACAGGAATCGCACACTGTGGGAAGCACTTCCAGTGGCCTGCATTTCCTCCGTGGCCTTTGCAGTCCCAGGTTGACTGAAGGCTTGCTCCGGCATCTGGGAGACGATTACAGCACCCGTTCTGCAACTTGCTTATCCGTGACAAATCTTTACGGAAGATGAAGTATGTGTCATGATTCGTTGAGTCTTATAATGGCCTTCTCTTGTATTTTCGGAAGGTTTCAGGAGTGGAAGCTGTGCAGCAGCCTGCAACCAAAACAACAACTTCCTGCTACTACCAGGCTACCAGTACTACTACCACTACCAGCACCAGCAGCAGCACTAGCACTAGCACTAGTACTACCACTACCACTACGTACCACTAGAGTCGCTAGAGGGCACCCACGCTTGCAGACGGCTGGCAACAAGCAGCTTCCTTGTCACGTCTTGAAGGTGCCTCTCAGTGCCATCAATCACAACCCTCACTAGATGCCGTCATGTTCGCACCCGTCAAACGAAGCTGCCTCTCGGTTGTACGTGTCCTCCTGAGTCGTTTCGCTAAGTCAGACTTATGTGAAGCATGCCTCAGGCTGCAAGTGTGTCATAAAAAGCACTCAGAGGGCGGTGGGACATATCAAACGATCGGGGGTCGATCAATCTCCCCCCATCTCTACCATCTGATGCGGTGCCTATCTCTTCGCACCTTCGTCCCCCCAAAAGTCTTGCCCAGCTGCATATAAATGCCCCCCCCTCCCCCGCTCCCCCGCCCCAATGGTTCAGCTTGTATACAATGAGAAACAAGGCATAACGACCCCGCCCCCCCTGTGGAACGGGACATCCTTCCTTCTCCTGCGGCCCTTGGTCTGTGGTTCTTCTGCATCCATGCGCCCTTCCCCCCTCGGCTCTCATCCGTTTGTGTGGTCCAGATGGAAGGAGAACCCCC